AAAAAAAAAAAAAAAAAAAAAAAAAGTAAGGCTCCTTTGCACTGTGGAACAAACTCTTCATAAACTTAGAATTTGAAAGGAGAATTACTGGCAAAAGGATACGCTTTACAGAATTAATCAGAGCCCTGCTTTTGCTTGGTCAAAAGTGCTACATGTTCAGAGATGAATTCTAGAATAGGTAGTAGATAACAGCCTTAGTAACGATGGTAGAACCAGAAGGGACTAAGAAAAGTTCAAGGCAGGAACCCAAAGGCTCCCCACCCTCCACGCCACTCTCACACAGCAAGGCTACCCTAAAATATTAGAAGCCAGCCCCTTTATCACCGACCCTACATTTTCCAGGAACATTCTGGTGGCTTGAGGGAGGGAAGTGAGTCCAGAAACATGAAACTGCCATTGAAGATTCTGATCCCCCAACGTACCTTGTTAACTCCCTGGGCCAAAGCCAACTATGAAAAACACCTCCATGCACATACATAAGGCGCAGGGATTTTCCACCTCCCACCAGGCTCATCTGTGACTGTAGCCACCCATTCCGGGAAGCTGGGCTGGCCGCCACAGCTGGAGGCTGTGGGCATCTTCACTCCAGCCGTATCGGCTTACACAGGCAATTTTCTCCTGACCTATGAAGCTGACATCATTCCTTAGGACTCGTGTCAGACAGGTCATCTGAGGAATTAAGTCCCTGGGAACTGAAGCAAAGCTTGGTAAGCAAGCAACCCCACAGTGTTCAGAAAGCAGTAGAGCAACTGAAAGGAAATTTTCTCCCATCTTCCAACACCCAAGCAATCCTCTGATCATATCAACATCACCCCAATCAGCCTTCTCCCTCTTGTTCTAAGTGCTGAAGGACTCTGAGACAAGGCTGGGGGTGAGCAGGCAGAAACCAACAGCTACTGGGAGTTGCCAGGAACACCTGGCAAATGACCCCCCTTCCTGTGAGCAGAAGCTCAAGGGCTAGTTCAAGCCCATCCCCATCCCAATTATTGGAAGATTTCAGTAATTTCAGAGGCAGTACAAAAAAAATTTTTTTTAAGTTGAAGGAAAAGAATATAGTATCACAAAGTTGAATTCAACCCTGAAAATTATCAACTGATAAAACAACACATAAAATATCTGATAATGAAACCTTTGGGACTGGACAGTGGCTTCTTCCAACTCAAGTTCAAGAGACTCCTTTTAGCCCACTCCAATCCACAGCTTCCTTGACAGAAAACTCTAGAATATGGGTTTTCTGAACTGAGGAGGATTTCAGAGGTCAGTAAGTACTTGGGCTCTAACTGTGTAGACACAATGGGCTGGGGTGACGACAGATTTCTAACTACAAATGTCCTGGGAAGGCAAACGGCCTGTGAGAAGCACCTTTTTTCCAGGAAGAGGGTATCCAGCTTTCAATCTCTTTCTAAAATGGTGCCAGACCCAAAATGGGTTAAAAACACTGACCTACTCCAGCTGTTAGATTTTACACACAAGACTCAGAAAAGTCAACTGAGTGCTCCAAGTGACAGAGCAAACTGTGTTACCTTCTAAAACTGGTTGCAACTGCAGGAGGAGCCAATAGCCCTTTTCCACTTCTAATTACAAGGATTCTATGAGGTCTCCAGTCGCCACTCTGTCTGGATTTCCGGGCCTGGGTGACACTCACCACGCTTTCCCTGAAGCGTCCAGAGGGCCAGGGGCCTGGGGTGGCTGGCTGTGCTACCAACTCCCAACCAGACTGTTTCCTGGGGGCTCAAAACAGGGCTTCCAAAAAGCCCAGTCCTCCCAGGGTAAGGCACAGTTCAGTACTCCAAGGACAAATCATAAGACCCTATTTGCCTGGTGTGCAAATAAGGAACAATCAGCAAAACCCACTGGCCCCAATTCCATAGGGTTTCCAGACCAGGCCAGTTATGAAAATTTCACAAGGGAAAATGGGGATCTAGTAGACTAATTCAGAATGAGAACTTTCTTGCAATGAAGTACAATTTTCAGAGATTACTCTGGGATGGGAAAATATCTGTAACAGCATAACTGACATTTCACAATATAAAAATGCTATCACTATGTGGTCAGCGATTGCCCCTTGCAGATCAACAAGCCATTTACAATCAAGTAATTAACAGGCCATCAGCTCAAGAAAACTAACGTATAATCTCTCTTGCAGGGAAGAATTACAAATTAAAACCTCTTTAAGAGACAATCAGACAGTTGCAAACTACAAATAAAAGCCCATGGAAGTAGATGAAGGGCAGCACTTATTCTGTGGGGGACCCTGCAACTGGTTGGGCCTTTTCACAAAGTACTGCATGAAGATGAAACATCAAACTGCTCATCCTCTCTTGACTTTTGACCCTTGACCCCTGGAGGAAATTATTTCCAAAATAAATGACTAAAGTGAGAGGAAAAAAGGGCCACATTTGTGAATATGCTCATTGCTGCATGTGGGATTAACTGCCACCCAATCCAGAAGCTGCCAACAAAGCAACAGCAGGATGGTGTATAAGCTCTGACCCCAAAAGTAGCCTGCAGCTCATTGCCAGGTACCCTTGGTACTTCTTCACCGTGAGGAAAGCGCAGCTCTTCTGAAAGTGGCTGCTGTCATGAGAAAGATGTTTAGAACAGTGCCTGACACAAAACGACTTGACCAAAGTTGGCTGCAATTATTACTATACATTAAAGTGGCAAACAGATGAAATCAGGCAGTTTAGCAAGCCCAAAGTGCACTTAGAATGAGTTAAATTACTCATGAGTGCTGGTTCTCACTAGCTTCTTTCTTGTCGATGACAAACCGTAAAGGAGAAATAACACACTTGGAAGCCTTTGCAAAACAAGGCAGTGAATGGCGCAAGGGGTCTGATTCTGTCTGAGTCTGTGTATCTTCTCCCAAGGGACTCAGCAAAATGTGTGCCAAGGAGCTTCTCCAGAAGTAAACACTGATCATCAGGAGCCACTCTCCACCGTAGCTGATGTAGACATTAGCACATCCTTGTCCGTTTGACACAGGACACATCTGCGGGGCCTTCAGAGAAAGATGTCTCAGCCTCAGACACCAAGAAAAGCCCCCAACTCTCTCCTCTATAGGGTGATATCACATCCCCCAAGAACATGGAACCTGCCGCAGCCATCCTGCGGCCACAAGAGGAGATTAAGTCAACATGCTATGGGGACAGAGCAGCGAGATGCAAAGAATGCTGATCCGTAACTTTGCTGTGAAAATTTAGCCAAACAGCTGTGGCTCAAGCTGAGAATTCCTGCACTTGGGAGACTAATGCAGGAAAATCTTGAGTTTTTGGCTAGCCTAGGCTGCATATTGAGTTCAAGGCGAGCCTGAGTTACACAGTAAAACCCTGTCTCAAAGAAAGAAAAAAATTAGCCAGTGCTGGAGTACCTATTGTGAGACCTATTCATATGGAATAATAATATTTTCTTTATTGTTGGAGCCAGAAAAGTTGCAGTTTTCTGTTCCTCACAGCAAAAGGCATCCTAACCTATTAAGGCAGGGACCCAAGCAACATCTAAGGAAGGCCCAACAGGCCCACCCAACTCTGGTCCAGGATTCAGCCAGGACCCTGGGAGAACGCCCAGGGGAGATGGTAGGCTCATCTGAAGTACACAGAAGACTGTCCCCAGGCCTGAGAATACCAGATGGTGTTGTGGGAAGGCACTGAGCCCCACCAGCCCCAGAAATGTGGCCTCTTACGACCTCTGGAAGCCTCCTGGCCACCAGCTCTCCTGTTTCTGGAGTTACCCATTTCACAAAGGCGGTGACCAAACTGCCCTCTAATGTTGAGCTTCCAGAGAAAGTGCAGGATGAGCAGTTACACTTGGATTTCAGAAAAACAATGAATAACTTCCTAGCACAGGGGTGTTTCACAGGTGATATGTGGCCAGGCCCCTGGCAAAGAACAGAGACCCTTGCAGCACACTGAAACAGAGATGACCTCCCCTGCCTCCTCACTGCCTGGGCTACCTGGGTGTGTCGGATCTGGCACAAGCACAGAAAATGCAGGTCTCTGATGGTCTAGGAATGTCTGATGTGCATTTTATAGTAACAGACATGAAGTGGTGAACACTTAAAATGTAAGGGTGGGGCAAGGGCCACTCTGGTCCTGAGAGGTTTGGAAAGTAGGTGGCAGGCTGACGGAGGGGTACTGTGGCTCTTGACATCCGTCCTCCTTATTACAAGAAATTTCGGGGGAAGCAGAGGAGATGAGAATTCCCTGATTCAACTCTGTCTATGCAATATCCATGACCATGGACCAAGGGTGAGAAGTGGCAGTGGGCAGGGCCCTCACGCCAGCTGGTCGATGTCCGTAGACCTACCTTATCTGTGGTCATGTTGTCCTCACAGCCTTCTCCATCAGGCCATGTCTGACAGCAAGATCCCCTGGGGCCAAGGACAATGTTTAATTTGCTTGGTATAGTACAGCCTCCCAGCTCACAAACAATCCCTCAATAAAGCTCATGGATGAGAGCAAGGGCTCATTTCCTGGAGCCTTGCATATGGTTCCTGTCTTGTGTCCCTACAGTTTCCTGCCCAGATCTGGGAACACAGTAAGTGCCTTTGAACAAACGGCTCCGAGGCAGGAAGATGCCTAACTAAACAGATACAAAACTGAGCTGCTTTCCAGCAATGGATGAAATTTGTCTTCCCTGCCTCTATCTCTTTTCTCCCCAATTCTCTGCCTCTAGAAGCTGCTGCGCTAACAGCATTGGAAAAGAAGTGTGGGGCGGAGTGACTGGTAGCCATGACCTTCAGAATATCAAGAGGAAAACAAATGGAGGTGCTGATGTTTCCAGGGATCTCTTCATTATAGTACTTGCCTTTCTTTCTAGAAATGATGGGAAAACCACACCAAATCTGCAGGTAAGAAAGAAACAAGCAGGCCTGGCTACATAATTTGTGGGGCCCAAAGCAAAGCGTACCTTCTCAGTACTTCTTACTAAAAAAGCAGGCAAAGGTACCTCAAAGGAACCTTAAACTGCTTCTTTCCCCACAGTCTAACTCTGATGCACCATTTTCTATTTGCTATTTGATTTCATGCACTGACTACACCCTCCTGAACCCCTGGCCAGGCCCCTGATGGGTAAGGGGGGTCAGCAGTTGACTGGGTGGCATCAGGGAAGTCAGATGAGCCCGGAGTCCAAGGGACCACGCTTCATCATCCCTCTGGACTTTATGTACACATCACAAAGAAAGAATTATGAAGGATTTCTAGACAGAAGCTGTGGAGGGTTTTTGTGAGTTTAGGCCGAGATGGGCATGGTTGCACACACCTGTGATCCCAGCACTCTGGGAGGCTGAGGCAGGAGGATCACAAGTTTGAGCCCAGCTGATGCAATTCAGTGACTCAACATGAACCTGTCTCAAGCAATCAATCAATCAATCAAAAGAGCTAGGATGTAGGTCAGTGAGAAGGCCCTGGGTTCAAATCCTCAGTACAAAAGGAACCCCAAATTAGGCCAATACCCTGTCTGATCTTACAGGACATTTCTGAGACTATCTTTTGCCTCTTTTCTCCCTCTCAAATCCTTTGATTCCAGCTTGATAAATCTTGAAATTTTGCAAATGTAATCAATCCCTTACCAGTTCCCAGCCCTAGAGGGTGTGTGTGTGTGTGTGTGTGCGTGTGTGTGTGTGTGTTTATACATACACTGGAAGAGAGAGTTGCTCAAGGACAAAAATACCAAGTGACCTGCACTGTGCCGGACAGCCCCACACAGTGAGGCCTGTTGCACCCAATGCAGTCATGGCCGGTTGGTTAACATGCCCAGAACACCTTCAAATAAATGAGCTTAACCAGAAGTCTACCCATAAGACTTGTCCTGGAGGCAGCAAATGCTGGGCAGAATTCTCCAGAAGTACTACCCATCCCCTTCTCTGGGGGCTTCACAGCAGGCTGGCACCATATTGGTCCCAGTGCAGCCAGTGAGAAGCTCACTAGTGGGAAGTGAGGTATTTATTCTCGTGGATCTCCTTTTCTCCTCCCTTTTCTTAAGCCACCTCCACATCAGGCCCCCAGGGTGAGGTGGTGGGTCCTCCCTCTACTGGGCCCCTAGCTCCAGAAGGGCTTCAGGAAATCTCTACTGTGGGGTACAGTAAACCACGAGGGTGGAAACTTAGCAAGGGTGAGGTAATAGTTGTGGTTTTATATTTAGCACCTGTGTCTTCCGGAGACCTCAGCGCTCATGGTAAGAGTGGGTTTTAATCACTTTGCTACTGCAGCAAGGCTCTCTTGGAAGCCAAGCCCCTGAGTCCTTCCTCTACCCCAGTTCCAGCAGCCTAGAGCCTCCTCATGGGAACAGCAGATGCCCATGAGGTCCCAGCTTTCTGGTTCCTTAGTGTTCCTGGTGCATTGTGGGTGCAGTCCCAATCCAAGAGTAGCGGAGGGTAAGCAAGTGTCTACAGCTACTCCCACTGGGTGGGCAACTCAGAAAGAAGGTAAAGGAAGCGGAGGCTGCACCCATTCCTGCTTGCAGGCCTCCTCAAATTCCCAGAGCTTCCTGTACTCAGATTGCACCACTTCCTGTTCAGCTGTATGCAGCACATCAGTTTCACAGTGAGACTGCAAAGGTGCTGAGGTGGTAGGCTCGAGTCAGGGAGCCCTCCCTGGGAGGAGGAGGAGCTGGTGCTTGCCTTGGCCCTGCATGCCTCAGCCCATGACCTTGCACAGGCCCCTCCTTGGTCGGTTCTGGGGCCCAGCTCTCAGGCTCCACCTGGACTTGAGTGCTCTGGTCCTGTGTACCCTGCTGAAGCTCCAGAAGGGCGATGTCTGCATAGCTGCCCTGAAAGTGACAAGCAGCACAGGCCTGGGTATGAAAAAGTCAAACCCTGGAGGAAACATGCAACCCAGTTGAGGCAGCTATCAGCAAACCACAGGCAGTCAGTAATGCTCACCCAACTGCCCCCACTTCCATGCAGTCCTCTGCTGGACACAAGGGTGAACGCAGCCACACGCACACACTCCCTTTACGCACACACTTACATACAAATGCAACACAGGCTATGGTGAGACCACAGAGGTGAAGAGACCCTGGCCCCAGATGGCCACTTCAGGCTGATCTCATCGCCTGCCTGGCCCTGCCCCAAGTTCTCAAGAGTGCCGGCTTCTGGCACCCTCTGCATGGATGCCAGTGTCCCCTCCATCCCGCTCCTGCACCTAATGTCCACCTCACACCACAGACAGAAGCAGTTCAGAAGCGGCACGGAAACCAGGTTTGGAGACATGGCTTCATTGAAGAGGGAAGTGACAAATGATTGCTATTTCTATCGGTTTTTCTCAGTGTCCCCTCTGTCAGGGATGACAAGCACTGTGCCCTCCCCACAGGTTTCCGGTCTCATCCCATTTTAGATCTACTGCAGCCAGGCTCCCTCTCTATCTCCTCATCCAGGGTCTGGGACAGAGCTCTGGCCCAAAGGAGTGTCTAGCAAGGCGAACCCTGGTTTAGGAGGAATTTGTTTAGGCTAAGACCATCTCTGTCACTTCTGTTAGCATGTCTTCTAAGACAGCCTACACATTTACAGTTCACAAAGGACACTATTCTGTTGCTTGACATTTGGCTGGGACTTTAAAATTGTCCTTTCTGCCACATTAGCAACCAAAGAATGCATTCTGCTGCTCAGATTAACTACCAGTGTCCTAGACAACTCCCTCGCCTCATTAAAACAACCCACCACACCTAGGCTGTATTTACTTTTAGAACTTTCTTTCCCACCCACAATGTCCTCACTCCAACCTGAGCCTGTGACCTGGTCTACCTCACAAGGACCTCCTCTGACTTAGAAAATTAAAACTTTTTGACAGTCTTATTTTCTCTTTTCACTGAGCAATTTCTCACTCAGTTTGGCAAAAAGCCCTCTTGAAAGCCACATGAGGCAGCTGTGAGTGAAGGCTTCTCTTGGTAGACATGAATGCTGTCCTTCCAAATATCTCTAGTTCTTCTCTGGGACACACGGTTGATCTCTACTCTCCTTGCCCCTTTGAATTAGGTGTGGTCAAGAGACCTGCTTGGCGCTCAGTGTGAGCAGAAGTGCTGTGTGTCGCTTCTCTGGGCTGCAGCTCTCCACATCAGATCTGCCACATTTCTTCCCTCTACCAAGATTACCAACATCATCATCCCAGGTCACGGAATGGGGACAACAGGGAGCAGAGCCCACAGCTGGCCCAGATCCAAGACACAGCATCAAGAAAGAACCCTTTGTTGCTTTCATTCGGTCAGACTGTGGGGTTGTTTGTTACTGCAATAGAACCTACTTCGTGCACCATTTGAAGAAAGAAGGACATGGGGCTGAGAACCTGGCTTGCTGCTTGAAGGGAGGAAATAAAGCAGCAAGAGAGAGGAGAAAGAAGGGTCTGGACTCCCTGTCATTATTGCCTTTTTTATGCTCTCCTACTCTTGTGCATGTGAGTCCTTCTATTCCAACTGCTCTTCCCCTTTCTCTGATTTAGGAATCACAGAAAGGTCCACACCTTCAAATTTCCACTCAAACTACACCATGTCTAAGAGCATTTCTCTTCCCAAGACCCCAGGTAGTCTTGGCATCTGGCTGCTGCTGCCAGCAGTAATCTGAACTTATCACTAAAAACACACTTACTGCCCTCACTTATCTAAGAAGATAGGATAGAGTAGTGGTTACAAGGGCAAGCTGTAAAAAAATGGCTTTGAACCAGGGGTGATTAACCAAGATTGTTTTTAAAAGATAGAGTCGTGCGGGGGGAGGGTACTGGTGCTCAAACGCAGTACCTTGCACTTGCCAGGAGAACACAGAGCCACTGAGCTGCATCCTTGGCCCTACAAGATAGGGGCAATGTTGCCCCTACTGGCCTCAAATTCTTGGGCTCAATGACCCTCCTGCCTCAGCTTCCTGAGTTGCTTGGACGACAGGTGAGCACCATGGCACCCAGTTATGAAGAACTTAGTTGTTTGCCACAAGTGGGCAGGTGCTACTAGACACAGATGCTGCTAAATATCCTACAGTGCCCAGAAGGGCCTCCCACAGCACAAAACTGACTTGCCCCAGTATCAGAGTACAATACTGAGAGACTGCTAGTACAAGTCTGAGGCCACATCCTAACTCCTGTGTTACTGTGACTTCAGGCACATCCCTCAACCTCTGGAGCAATGCCTGCCACCTAACAAATGTGTGATATATGTTAGATATTGTAACTGCCTCCTCCACTAAAATGCAAGCTCCTAGAAGGTGAGGACTAAGACTCACTTATGTGTGTATCCCTGCCTGCCTGGACATAATAAACATAGGTGGGCTGCCTGAACTAAGAGACATTCACTCTTTGCTGAAAGCTAGCTAGTTGCAAGGAGTGGTAAAACCTTCCTCCAAACACCAAAAGACAAAGCCTGAGTATTCTACTTAGAAAATCTACATTGCTTCAGTGTATTTATTACTTCCAGGTCACTACGAAGGACAACTCCAAGTACAGAGACTCTCAGCCAGAATATTTAAAAAACCAGAAGATAAGCACAGAAAACCATTTGCAAGTTCATGGCAAATAAACTATAACACTGATGCTATCTGAAGGAGTGACCTGAATCAACATGAACTACTCACCAACGGCTGTAATTCATTCATGGATTTAAACTCAACCCAGGCACAAACATAAATTTTTAATCTGCACCAGGACTGCAACAAGAGTTTGTTGTGTTTTAAAAAAATCTGTCCAGCAACTTCAACCCAAAATCTCAAATTAGCTCCTCAAAATGTACTAAACCAGAAAAATATTCCGAGCCAAACTCATTTGATTCAGTTACACCTCTGGTCTTGAGCCCCATGACCCCTTGCCAAACTGTGTTGGGCAGCTCTAATGGTCTCTGAGGACTATGTGGAAAGTCTGCAGTCATCTGTCTTCACGAGACTGTTTCCACTTCTCAGGCTCATGGGATACATGTAAAAATCCTTTGCTCATTTTCTAAAATCCGTTAAGCCCACCTAGCAAACAATCCTTTCTTTGTGACAGACTGTTTACACAAATTCACCAAAGGAGATTTTTCAAATATTATACTTCATTATAGCAAGGAACAAATAACATACCTTTGCATTTCTTATGACTCACTGGAATCAGGACTAAGGATGCTTTTACACATTAAAAAGCTCCGCCTACATCATGAGGCAGAAAAATAAACATGCACACATTCTTAAGCACATGGTGCCTCCCTACTGCCCCATGGAAGCAGACCCTGGAGCCCACTTCCCCCCTGGAACGGGAATAGAGACCAGAAGACAACCCCAAAAGTGCTACAGTCTCCAGCTGCTGTTGTAGCAGTTCTAAATTACATACACCATTTTTTTCCCCTTTAAAGTAGAGAGAGAGCATTTCCAGGGCTGTCAGCACAACTGTGTCGCAGAACTGCATCCAAGAGACAGCTGGAGCTGCACGCTCCCAGGGAAGACTGTGGAGGCAGCCTCACCCACCGTGGGACCTGCCCCTGGAGTCTAGAGCTGAAGTCGGAGGAATTCACCAGTCAGATGAGGGGCAGACTGGGGTGGAGAAAAAGGCCCCAGTGCAGGTCACAAAAGCTCACGAGAGTGAGGAAACACAGCAGCCCTGGGGGATAGCAGAGATTGCGCTGTGGACCCCAGCTGCCCTTCCTGGTGCTGTTTCTTTCAGAGTGCCCCAGAGGGAGATGAGGGTGGCAGTGCGGGGACACCCTACTTTGGTTCCTTTGTTTTTATTTCCAGGCTCTGACCCACTGGCAACTTTCCTTGGTCAGCCTGGGCAGGATTCTGGAGAGACCGCTGCAAGGTGAGGTGACAGGGTGTGGGGCTGGGGCCACCACCCTGGCTCCTTGCACTCCACAGCTCCCACCATGGTGCCCACCCAGAAGTCAGAGGGTCCTGAGGGCTGGGGTGCACCTCACAGATGGTCAGGTGTCCTCACCTGAAGCCCAGGGAGCAAAACTCATACTGGAGACCCAAGGCTTTGCCCATTTCCACACCAACTCTGAGAACATTTTTGTTGTCACTCGTCTTTTTAAATCCAGATCATTTAATGGAAGGTGTTACGGTTTCTATTATGGTGTCTCCCCGACCCACCCACCCAAAGCCTCATGTGTTCATAGGCTGGGATCACAGAAGGTGGATGGATGTACTACACCTGCCTTGGTGTTGGGGGGTCTGGTTGGAAGAGTGAGCCACTGGAGGCTTGACCTGGGTGCATTTCTTCCCTGGCTCCTACCTTTGTGCTCTGCTCCCTGGCTGCCATGAGATGAGCGGCTATTCCTCCACCAGATCCCTGTGTCGTGCCATCTATAGACTGGAACGTGAGCCAAAATAAAATTCCTCCTTTTAGTTGTGGGTGTCAGGTATTTTGTCCTAGCAATGAGAAAAGCAACTAAGATAGAAGGGGACAGCAAACAAGCATATCAAAGCTTTTACCCTCAATAGCCACTGTGGAAAAACAAAACTACACTGAGAGGCTGGGTGTGTCGCTTGGTGGTAGAGTGCTTGGCTGACATGGCTGCAGCCAGGGATTTAGCCTCAGCACCAGAAAAATAAAAATAACCCACAAGATGGCCCTGCCTATCTGTCAGAGTGGCTAAAATGGAAGAATGACTAAGCCAAATGCTGATGAGGATGTGGAGACTGGATCCATCATGTACTCTGGGAATGTGGAATGGTGCAGGCATTCTGGAGGAGAGTCAGGCAGCTTAGCTCAATAAACCAGGCACAGTGGCACAGGGCTGTAATCTCAGCACTCCGAAGACTGCAAATTCAAGCCAAGCCTGGGCAACTCAGTGACTTAGCAAGGTCTTCTAAATAAATAAACAAGTAAGTAAGATATAACTCAGTGTGAAGGCCCCGCATTCAATACCTGTTACTGCAAAAACAAAAACAAAGAAACAGCAAACACATAACTACCATATGACCTGACAACTGTACTCCTGGGCATTTATCACAAAGCAGGGAAAGCACACGGTTTCAAGACGACACACAGGAACGCTTTATTTGAAGCAGCCAAATACTGAATGTGACTCAGATGTCCCCTCCTGAAAGTGACACCTGAATCATTATCTAGAAGCCCGGAAAGGCAGGGGTCTGCCTGGAGTCACTTCTCCTGTGACAGATTGCTATGGCCGGTCTCTGGTCCAATGGCCTTCACCATGCTCAGGTGGAAGCCACCGCTTGGCAAGGCGATGGTCACCACGCCCCTTTCTAAGGAGGAGCTGGGAGTCACTAGGGTTCACACCCTTCGTCACAGCTATCTCTCCTTGTGGATGAGGAGCCCCAAGACATTCACCTGCGGAAAGTCTGGGCTTCCTGCCTGCTGACCCCTTTGAAGCGAACCCTTCTCCTTTCCCTCACCACGTTCCTCATCTAAGTGAGGTCTGCAGGCCTGAATGACTGCATTCTGTTCCAATTTAGGGGCTCAAGTTACAAGCCGACAGCAGGCTTTTACCCCTAACATTTAAGAGTCAGTGCCCTTGTGTCTAGGCCACCTTGCTTCAGAATGCCTGGGTGCTGTGGCATCTAACAATATCCAGCGAGCCCCATGCAACAGCCATGTCTGTAGTCCTCTCTCAGGGTGGCCAGAGGCACCCAGCTGTGTACAGATCTGTGCTCGGCCTGACTAAAAGCCCCTGTCCTGAGACAAAGGGGCTCCTCATCCCCCTCTGAAGGTGGGCTGCAGAGCCAGGAGCAGTAACTTTTCCCTGCTCCTCATTCCTTCCTACCAGCCTGGGGACTGTGAGGCAGCTCAGAAGTTCACTTTGGTAGAGTTGCATCTATTGAGACCATGTTATGAAACAAAGGCCCATTCATTTAAAAGGAAAGAATCCTCTCTTAGTTCCACCTCTGCGAACAGTAACTTGATCTTTAGCCAGACTCAAAGGCTACTCCAGGGCAGCTATGCGAACACACTCTTTCCCCTAAATCTAGTATTTCCAAAGTGACAACACACCCTCATCCTCTCCACCTCCCAGGCCCTGTGGCTAAGGACACCCATCTCTCTGTACTCAGTGTAGTTAGTTTTCAATGTTCCTAAGGCAGGGGCCCAAAACTAACTCAGAGCTCACTCTGCACAAAGCACCTCCTCTCTTCTCCAGGTGACAGTTGAGGGAAGACAGAGAGGAAAGGACAGGCCCCTTGGAGACACAGGTAATTGCAAATCCCAGCTGTGGATTTGAGACTAATGAGCTCATCTGTCTAATCATCGATCTGCTTGCTATTAAAGAAGAAAAATAATACACACCTTGCAAAAGTTAAACGAAGCAATTAATGCAACCTGCCTGGCAAAGAATGGATGCTTCCTAAACTGTAGATGCTATTATTTTTATTATCATGCATCCTAAGGATGCTCAGCATTTTTAACAGCTGCACAATGTGATTCATTCATACTGAACTTGTACAGAATTGTAA